CCTCCTTTGTCTCTTCTCTCCCTTATTAAGGGCTCAGAAAAATGAGCAGTTCCCCAGCTTAATGAGTTACCATGTATCAGCTGAGCCTGGGTGATGGCACCACGGAGACAGACAGTCAATAGCACACCCAAGATAAGACCCATTAGCTGAAGCCTCAGTGATGGAGGTTTAAACTAATCCATTTAACGTTGAATTTGCAGTAGGTAAAGAGCATACACGCAAATGATTGTAGCACCTCACCTTACACACGTTAAGCTGCAGCAATTCATCTGCTTAGTCTAAGCTCCTCATTTCCATTTCTGGATGCGTGGTGTTGGCACGACAGGGCTGAGACACAAAATTCTGAATCCAAATTCAGCATTGCAGCATGAGAGGGAGGTCAAAACAAGGATTAAAAAGTCAGGCTGGTCCATAAGAACAGTGCAGCCTCCAGCAATGCTCACTTGGGATAGAGTATCAGATGAACTTTTCTCAGCAATGCATTTTTCAGTGCCATATGTAATTAGATGATGAACTTAAGTCATAAGCATGCTCCAGTGAAATGACATCTGCATTAGTGCCTTCCTTCTGACATAGCAAGACGTTCAAAATTGAGCACAACAAACTGGAGAGAATTCAGATCAACAGCTCCGCAGAAGACGCTCCCAGATTTTGCAGCTGATGATCTCCAGAACTGCTGTATAAGCCAGCAGAAGTCTCCACCTGTTCCTGCATAAATAAGATTAAAAAACCCAAACAGATGGTGACTTAATCCCCAGCTCCATCCCCAACTGATGTTACACAAAATGAGGAACACGCCTTGCTTTAAACCTTTGCTTATACCAGAAAAATCTCCAAAATGGGGTGTCTGTAAGGACAAAATATTGCCATTCCAAAGTACTGTACTAATTTGGTGATTTCACTCTATAAAGGGAGACATCCAACTTTTAAACACCGGTCACAGGCCCAGAGCATTCAATGGGATCGAGTGACAACTGAATATGCAGAGGGAAAATGGAAAACTCATGCCCAATGCCTCAAACAATCCGACCTAAGGAACGGAGGAGTAAACAGCTGTCATTCTCCCTCCACCTGGCAATCGCTTGATGTGGCCTCCTCTGAAACTCATGGCTTATTTACCACACACACTTACTTGGGGTATTTGACTTCGGGGGTGATGACGTCTACCATACACCGTCATTCCATTGTTCACCTTACCAAAGAGAATTAAAACGTAGAAAACAGCCAAAACTGCTGCTGCTATTCAAGCAGCTTTAAAAATATGCCTCATACTAAAGATGTTTCTTAAAAGAAAAGCATGACTTCATCTCTGCTGTCCTGGTTCCCCTTCCCATGGCTGCTGCTGAAAGGCACAGTGCCTCTCCCTCTCCATACCCAGCAAGTCTTACACCAGCCAAGGGCATCCCCCTCACCGCCTCTGCACAGCAACACATCCCTCTGCATCTGGGACTGGGGAGAAGGGCCAGGTTCCCCTCTCAATTTCAGTGAGGCAGCCAAAAGGAGGATTTGCTCCTGTGTGTTTATAGTGTAGTAGCAGTGAATTTCTGTAGTGCTCTGGCAAAGCCAGAGCAAGTCTGCCTTGCTGCTCAAAATAGGTTTCCTGCTGTGTAGGAGCCTCTGAGAAGGTCCCAGAGCATGCAAAAGCACATCATTGTCTCAAACTTGAACCATCCCAGCTTCTTTCACAGATTTTATACAGCAACATGAAACTTTACCTTCCTACATCAGTTCACTCCATTCCTATTTACCAACTGAATCTGTGGTAGGAAATGTTGAAGGGAGTTTTTCCTCTTCAAAAAATACCCCACGATCTTACATTGCCCTTTTACCTGAAAGAAGGAAAAAAAAAAACCCGCACAACCAGCTCAAGGTTATTTCAGACTGATCAAAATGTACCCAGTTCAGAATTTTCTTTTCTTACCAACAAGTAAAACTGGAAAATTCATATGGTGTTTAATAAGACCCAAATGTTTTGGTTAATTTTTAGGGAATCTAAAATGGGAGATGGATTTGCATCATCCTTACGGTGCTCCCATTAGTAAATACATAGTAGACTTCCCCCAGCTGCAGAAGGCAGGTCCAAATCCATCCTCCAAGCTCCCTAAGTAACTGGCTGCTAGCTGTGCCACAGGCACAGACACATCCTTCTCCAGACAAAGACACACTCAAAGATACTAAGAGACCAAGGGGGCACAGTATCTGAACCACTCATGCAACTGCTCACTAGCCTGCTTTGGTCAAAATAAGACCTGGAGTTCAAACAAGCTCAGCTCCCTTGGTCTGAACAGATTAGAGAGCAACGGCATGAGCAGCTCAGACAGCAGAGCCAAGCGTAACGCCTGCAGCAGCTGGAGGAGAGCTCACATCATGACATCTCCAGTGCCTAATGCATATGGAAAGAATCAGGTTCCTTGTAAAAAGACAGGTTCACCTTCTGCTCTTTCAGCTTAACACTGAAGTCTTTTTAGAGCAGTAGGCTGTTTTGGAGCCAAGGGTCTGGTATCAGAAACATCCAGACACTTAAGTATTTTCTTGGTGCTACAGGATCTCCATACCTTTAAACCCGTGGGCCTAAATGTCTGACCTCCCAACTAGTACTTCATATAGAATGGTATGTAAATGTAAAGCTAGCTTATACACAGGGTTTGAAACAGGTGTTATTATTCAAATCTGTACTAAGTGTTATTTCATTTCTATAAAGCAAATCTGAAGTAAGTTTGATCAATTTTATTATTTTCCTGATTGTATTAATTTTACATAGTACAAAATCCCCTTATTTAAGCAATTTGATAAGAAAAAAATATGAAGTTCTACATGAAGCCAGCATAACACATTTTGCCTAATAGGAAATATACCTTTATCAGAAATTTTAAACCTTGATGTTTTCAATAAGAGCTTAACTTTTACTTATGTTTCAGAATTTGCACATTCATATGAAGCTTTCAGACATCTAGATTCCAGTTCAGGGTTTATTTGCATACAAAAATATATTATAATGGAAAAAAGCATTAAAAGTTCTCAACTATATAAAATTACAAATATATTTTCATAAAAGTAACTTTAAATTAAAATTCAAGCTATATTTTAAAGCAAAATACAGCTATAACACTTAAGTTATCATATTCCATCTGCTGCAAAGTAACAAAACTGATGTTGCCAGTTAAATACTTGTAGGAGTTTACAAAGGTTATGTTCAGAAGGTGAATATCTTGAGTAGCAAAGTTATCAGACAAGGGCAACAGCTCAGTGATTGATGTCATTTATCCTTCAGAGGACATTCATAGGCAAGCACAATGCCAAAGATTCATTTCATTTCACATGCCTGGAAATACAAAACAAGAAAGATCATTAAGTTCTGTATTAAGTAAGATTGCATATTGTTGACATACCAGACACCCTGTCTATGCCCAGCTTGCTAAACTGCCTAACAGGCCAAAATTATGCCTTTTTTTAATTAAGGTGAGAGCCAAAAGGCTAGTGTGTAAAAATTTAAGGCGATTACTGTTCTAACGAGTGCATTAGGCTTGAAAAGGCATCTGTACAAAGTTCTGTGTAACCTCAAGCATATAAATACAGTTCCTCAAAAATATGATGATAGATATCAGATGAAAGTTGGACTTTTTCCTCAAAATTTCCATGTATGATAAAGATACTATATCACTGTAAGACAAGTGACACTGTATAAATGAGACACTGTTGAAATCACTAGAGATTTGCTTAGTTGTGATTAAAAACACACCCCCAAAACCCAAAAACCACTATAGCAGGTGGCAATCCCTACCCTCACCTTTGATGTGCCCTGCAAGGCAACAATGAAACCTATATATTATAGGCAGCCCCTTAAGAGTTAGCTGCAACACAGCTATGCAAGATACAGCACCGTAAATATTTGCTGGTTTTGGGCTTTGTTTTTTACATAAACCTTCAAAAACTCAAAAGTTTTTCAAAAGAGCAGTCAAGTAGGTTTCAGTGGTAAAGATGGAGATTAGGTCAAGCCATACATTCATGACAGAAGTCAAGAAACTAGAAATATATTTTAAGAGAAGTGAAACGAGGAATAAGACACAAGTAAGATGACAGGGAAGTAGGAAACTCGTAATAGCAGCTGTCTTAAGTCCAAGGCAGATGGCCAAAACTTCAAGAACTACAGAGAACGGAAAATACCTAATGAATACAAGAAACTCACAGTTCATAGTTTAGGGGGGGGGGGTGGTGGTGGTGGATGGTTCATGCTGAGATTTAAGTCTAGTCCTACAATTTGTTGTTTTGGCCTCTATAGTCTGCTTCTGTACAAAAAAAGCCCCACACTATCATGTCTAACAGCACAGGAAGAAGTAGAAACAATAGTCAGAGTACGTGGTTGGGAACAGGAGGGTGTTTTTTTGTTTCTGTTGTTTTTCTTTAAAAATCATAATGAAGAATCTAGTACTGTAACTGGAAAACACAATTTCTAGACAGTGATAGAAAGAGAGATCTAAATTCCATTCCTGGTAAAGACAAGCAAAAATGGGATTTTGACATTTAATCTAAGTCAATAGATACAGATATCTGCTCCTCAATTCTTTCATAAAGCAAAGTCTAGAATAAAAAGGTTTCCCTCACCTATGGTAACTCCTCCAGTTACTTAGCTTTATAATGAAGAAACAAAACCCTACTTTTTACCTGAATTTTGAGTATTTAAGAAAGTGATGTTTACTTGATCTACACACAGTCAAGGAGGGGTGAATTGCAGCTGCCTCAGAGGTGGGGACAGGGGTTCACTGGAGTACAGCCTTTGTCACACCAGCTAAACTGCATGCCTTGAACATTCAGGCAAAGACCAGAATTTAGTCTATTGTACTTTCTTATTCACACAATGATCCATAGGATTAGCAAACTAAAATGAAGCCAAGTTTTATAAAACTACTGCTACCCTTTCCTTCCCTATCCCCCCATACATCGGCTTTCATCACTTTGACAGTACCAAGTGAGACGCAGCCTACTAATAAAAATCTACTTACTTGCTAGTGTCCTGTCAAGATCAGCAATGAAGTCTTCCAGTTCTTTTGTGTCTCCAAGCTTTGCTACAAAACAAGAGTCAATACTGCTTAGACATGTCATAAAGAAACACTGGAACCACACGATCTCCTAAATCATTTTCAGTGGTATCAAACATGCTGTGGATTATTTTCAGGAACATTCAATAGGGTTGCTGCAATGTCCAAATGAGTGAATTAAAATTCCAGTTTTTAGAGTTTTCCGTTTGACAGAAGCAAACCAATCCTGTTTAGTTTCCTTAAAATGCAGAGCTTGAACTGGAGAAAAAAAAAAAAGCTGTATGTCAACTAATCCATGTCCTTGCTACTCTGGGAGTCTTCCTTATTGCATCCATTCAGATACTGCATTCATGGCCCTAATCAAACCCTACCCAGTTAGCTCCTAGTCCTATCCAAATCTAAGCCTCTTAAATCATGTCAGCATCACTGGTTTGATATGATGTCAAATCCTTTCATTTTGGTCCATACACTACAAGTTTGGATCCAAACATCCACCTAAATTTCAATTCCTGAGAACACCACTGGTTCCATTCAATCTAGTTTTACTGCAAGCGCCTTCCTTATTTCTGTTGTCTACTCCAAGCCAGTTCCAACTCTAATTCTGTCTTTGTCTTCTCATCGGGAAGAGCATCTTGACCTTTAGTGTAATTCCTTGCCATGTATTTCCTGTCAGTTTAACTGAACTCTTTTTTGCTACTTCTTATTAACTATTACTCATTATTTCTCCCTAGTGTCATGCTAATTGGGAAGGAAGTATTTAACTTTTTTTTGTGACTGGTCACTGTGGAAAATGCATGAAAGCATGAAAAGCTCTTGAGCACGCATCTGAGAAGATTAGTTGTAACGAAAGCACCATGTAGAACATATGTATGACTGTTCATTTATTGATATGTCTGCTCCACAGTTAATCTAAGTTAACCTGAATGAAACAAGCTCTTGAGGAGTTAGATCAGCTCCAAGACAGAAGCCACTTTGAAATGTCATAGCTACAAAGGAGGAAGGAATTACTAACATATGGACTGTATCAGCAGTGCAAGGTCTATATAGATCCCAGTAACTGCATTCACTTGAATGGCAGCATATGGCTTCAGAGGAGTCACCTACTGCACCCCTGCATTCAGGCTAAGTATTTCTGTATATAGATGGCACACTTAAGCTACTTAGTTGCTTCAGTAAGAAGGAATATAAGTTACTTCTTAAGTGAAGTATTCTGTAAGTAGTACCGTGATTCCTCATCAACGAAAAAAACCTGTAATTTTCTTTAGCTTGGTGTTTCAAAACCAAAAGAGTTGCCAGGTCACCTGCAAAGAAATGTAGATGCAGTGTGCTATTGCTGTTTATAATGAAGACAGTAATATTTGAATCTGTAGTGTGCTCAACAGTAATACTTAGTTTTGTTGTCATCTAAAAAAAAAAGCCTTAAGAAGCCTGTATATTCAAGAATTAGGAAGAAATGCCAACAGTTAAAATTAAGCTTACCTTTACATGGAGTTACTGATGGAGATGGCAAGCTTGGAGTAGATACAGTTGGAGAGTTAAGCTTTTCATCACTGAAGCTGAAACTATTTCTGTAGAGCGAATCTGCACCTGTAAGAAAAGTTACATTATGAAGTAAAATTAACACTTTCTGCAATTTTGCAATAGAATTAAAACCAGAAATGGGGCCTTTCCTATATGGGCTTCAAAGTCTGTAGAACGCAAATTTACAGACTTTAAAACCAGAGGAATAAATAAATTATCTATTGTGTGAAGGCTGCTGTTCCCACACCTACTGTTAAAAACCAGTCAGTCCTAGGCCCAATCCTTATCCTTAGTAAGGAATGTGTCAGCTTTCCCTGCAGTCAGCATCTTTTGGAAAAATACTGCAGGAATGGCAATTATCCCACATCCACTAAATTAAGTCTGGCATGACCTGACTAATTCACAATATTCTGGGAAATTCCAGTTGCCTGAATTTTTCAAAAGCTATTAAAAAAGCTGAACAAAGAGTTCCAGGACAAGGACAGCCCCCCAGAATGGAGAATATATTCAGCATTTCACCCATTTCTCCATACATTATTCTGTTGCTTTGGGTCTTATGTTCTAGATGAATGGTATGGCATCGTTTAATTTTCTTTTATTCTGTAACTCTGTGGAGTTCATAAAGGAGTACATCTGTACACAAGATGTTCTGCAATCTTATTTTACGTGATCTTTCAAAGAAAGTTTTATATGCCCTGGAAAGCTATGGGAAAGGTACCAATACCTTTCTGATGTTCTTGGATTTTAGACAAAGGCTTAAGTTTCAAAAGTATTAAAAAGTGATCTTTATCTTGTCTCTTTTCATAAAAAGAGTTCCATGATGCACAGTGCACACAAAGTGTTAGTCATGGCTCCATTGGAAGGAGGAATTGTCGTTGTGTTAGAGACACTAACACTACTAGTTCCTGCAGTTTTGAGCCAGTGACCTGACAACTGTAGTTCTACAAAAAGAAACCATTGTAATGTGAACAAGTCAATGGTCTCCATTTATTCAGGACATTTCCTAAGAAATAAATATATGTCTCATTACATGGGGTGGTGACTACCACTGCTTGCCATTGAGGCCAGCAATTTTGCCTCCCTGCAGCACACATAAGGCTTGTCCTCGGAGCCCCAGCCTAGGAGGTGGTTACACTGCAGCGTTACATCCATCCAAGTCAAATTGTCACGCTGCCTTGGACGTCTGTCCCATTTGCTATGCCAGGAGATGACTGCCTTAGTTAAATTAAGGGTGTCTTGCTGAATTAGTAAAAGAGGGCAGGACCACAGCTTGCCTTGCCAAGATCTGCACATCTACACCTCCACTGAACACTGCCATGATGTTTGCAGGTATCAAACATAAAGACCATCCTCTTTTACTGTTAAGTACCCCCATCTTCGGGAAACGGTCTCAAGTTGTGCCAGGGGAGGTTCAGGTTGGATATTAGGAAGAACTTCTTCACTCTAAGAGTCGTTAGGCATTGGAATGGGCTCCCCAGGGAGGTGGTGGACCCACCATCCCTGGAGGTGTTCTAAAAACGTTTAGATGTGGCGCTTCAAGACATGGTTTAGTGGGTTTAGTGGACATGGTGGCATCGGGTGTATGATTGGACTTGATGATCTTTGAGGTCTCTTCCAACCATAATGATTCTATGATTCTAAGAGCATGTCCCCACACTCCTCCTCTAGCCTGCTGTCCTTACTAGCGTAAAACCACCTTCCACAGGAGTACACAGCTGCAGTGACAAATCAGACCAGATGACTGCATCTGCTAAGCCTGTCAGACATTTCCTCAGTCACAGGCTGACTGTCTATTTGTTTCTTCTGTGCTAGCTTCCAAGCCTACCTCTGTTGCAATACACACTGAAGAGGCTCGTGTGAGAAGCTTCAACTTGGACTATTTTCCTCTTTCGCACGCACATTGGCCCACCACAGTACTGTATCTGTCAGACTTCACTCTGCAATCAGCTCAGATTCTGTTCCAGTAAATGCATGTGCTATCCACAGCACTATGCAAACGTGAGCAGTGATGTGACTGACATCTGTTACCTGGGACTATTGCTTGCCCAAATCAGCCACCAGTTGGTATTTCTTGTTTAGAAAGAGCAGTAGGCTTCTTCATGCTAGCTTTTTATTGTAATTTCTTTATCTTCTCTCTTAAGCGCCTGTTGTCCTCTCTAAACCTGTGCAGATCAAAACCAATCTACTTGAAACTTCAGATATAAGAAAGATTTGATGAATACAATGCAGAATTGAGAGAATTTTAGATAGAAAAATAAAAAAAGCTATTTTAAAAGTAGCTCCTAAAAACATAAAAAACAACCTAAGGTGGGGGGGGAAGTGACACTGACTGCTCTGCAATGATGTGTCACCAGTGTTGTACTACACAGTATGAACCCTGTACATTAATGGACTGACAGTAACAGAGGTATGACAAATTTCCTCCTGAAAACAGCTTATGGACCAACATCCTACATTTCTTTTCAGCCAAGATGCAAACTCTAGTGACCAGGAAACTTAGAATGGAAAATTCTAGTTGTTCAGGATAAAATCCCTATAGTCACAAAAAAGCCAAATAACTTGTAATACCTCCCACAAACAGTCCTGTAGCCAAGAGTACAACTCACTGAAACACTGACAGAACAGGCTAAAGATAAAACACTTTCCAGGCAATGTATTTGAAAAAAGCAGAACAAGAACTTCCAAATTATTTCATATTTAAAAGGTTTTAGAGCTCATTGAATTAATAAAAAATAATCCAGAAAACAATGGCTACAAAACTGAGTGTACTTTTAATATGGAGTCTATGCTACTAATATCCAGACACCAAAAGTAGTGATGCTGGGAATTTATATTACGAACCAATCCTTCTTGTACACCAAATCCAAAGCTCCAATTGCTCTTACATATAGCTGGAATAAAATGTTCTTTTTGTGAATGCTACCGAGGGCAACTCAAATTACAAAAGCTTTAATAAGTCATTTAAACTGGCCGCAAAATATTCACACAACTCTTCTTATTTATATTCGTGTACACATCTGAGTTAGCAGTCATCTTTGATTCTTTTCGTGGTTTTCTCTCCATATTCCTTCTATAAGCAGTTGAAAGTGTTGACTGCTCACCTCGCAATGTATTGAAACCAGAAAATGTTATTTCATACTGGCTTCCACAAACATTATGCTGGGAAATATTTACAACTGGGCAAAAAGAAAATAAGACAGAACTGTTGGTTTAAATATCCAAATGTTTTTCTTCCAATGTCAAAAGGTGAAACGTTTTCACAAAACAGTGTTATCTTCTGATGGGTTGTAATCTTAATAGTTTCAGGAAAATATCAACATTTATCTTTCTCAAAAAGCAAAAACATACTTTAGCTACTGGCTGTGTTTTACACATGCCACCAAACAGCAGAAATTCTGGTGATGGAAGGAGGAATGCATTGAGTCTGCCATCAAGGTCATTATAACTGCTGAAAACAACGTCCTGTTAAAAAACCAAACTTGTGATACCCATCGCACAAAAATATCTGTTTTGACAGAGTGTGGCTGTAGGGCAGAAAGCTCTGGGAAAAGGACACTTCAGTCCTTGCTCTCTACCAGCTGCCACAGCCAAGATTTGCTCGTTCACCTACAATAAGGGCCCTTGGAAGACTTCCACTGCCACACAATACAACAGCCCCTGCAACCCAATAACCAGAGCCGGATGCCAAGCATTTCTCATCGCTGCTGTCCTTCCTCATCCAGCCCCTCCTCTCCCACTGCCATGCAAGTTTATCTATCATTAATTCCTTGTTTTTCACTTTGTATTTTGGTTCTACTGCCTCTGCACATATTTAAACTATGCCCCTTTGGCTGTTTTTTTTAAAAAAAAAACCAAACAATCTCTTTAAAAAAAAGCCCTTACATTCTGAGAGTTAGGCTACTGTGTTGATTTACATGAGTCAAACTAAGCCAATAGCTGCAAAATTAGGGAGCTGGAATAAATATGTGTGTATTTTACTTTGGCAAAGTAATCTGTAGTTAGTATTGACCTTTGCTGTTCCAGTATATGGTTAAACCAGAAAGAAAAACCATGGCAATACCATGTAAATATAGACTATCCCCCTGAAATGAGCAATTGAAAGGTTCTGAGCAGTAATTAACAGGAGGAGGAAAACCTCAAATTTTAATTTTAAAACAGACAACCCAAAAGTTCAGCCGTCTGGCTTCTTTAATATTATGCTCTTTGTAGTACCATAGGCCAAGATACAATTTTACAGAGCACTGGAGTCGGTAACATTTTTACTGCAGTTTTCATGGGGAAAGTTTTAGGGGGGAAAAAAAATAAATCACATCCCTAAATTTTTCAGAGAGGAGCTTTAAAATTCCACTGAAGTCTCTACAAGCCATGAATTTATTATAGAACAGTAGTTCGGCATTTAATGAACAGACTGCACAACTTATTCCTAGTCAGAACATAGCCCACTTGATTAAAAAAATGAGAGAGAAAGTAGGGAATTTCTAATGCCATCAGTAGAAGTGAGAAATACCCTCGATGCAAAGAGCTTGTTTCATAATACATATGTTGCAGCCCTCAAGGGTAGGGTTTATTTTGATAATAAATCATAGTTGCACTTGGCTGCATTGTTTAGTTTTTGTGTGTTTTTTGCCTAGCTAACAAGCATCTGTTCCAACACCGACACAAATATCACACCTTTTCACTATTGACACATCTAGGTGTCATGATTTAAAAGATTTCAAATCGCATAGTTACAAGGAAGTGACCTAGGAAGCCTGAAATTCAGATGTACAAGCGTGCCTTCTCATTACATACAAAGCTTGCATTTCCACTCCTCCACCACACTTACTATCCATGAGGCAGTGTTTCCAACTCCAACCTTCCCCTTTACTAATGCTTCCTTTCTAAAGTGTAAGAGAAAGGTGTAAGGTATGCTGGAGAGGTAAGAACAGGAAATCTTACAAAATAGGACATTTCTCATTAAGTTGAAATAGTTAGAGAGAAGCCTACACACCTGAAACTTCTGGGTTTTCTTCCCCTTGAATGTATCAGTAATTTAATAAAACATTATTTCTCAGATCATTTAATGAATGGTTATTTCTATGAGAGTCTTACTTCTTTTTTTTTTCATTATAAATATAGCATTACCTTCTTGTCAGAGATAGGCCATTAGAAGTTCGCATAAACAATCTACCTCCTCAAAATGTTCTCTTCATCATATAACTCGGATTTGCTGACCAAAGGCTCACCTATTCCACATTCTGTCTCTCATAGCAACTCATAGCAGATGCCTATAGAAGAGTTTAAGTGCAGCCACACGCTGACAGTTTCAAGATAAACTCTACCAAGTTCTTGTGATGCACAGATCAGTATCATTTCTAAGACAGCAGCAGCATCAGCCTACAGCAGTCCCCAATGGCCCCATCCCTCCTGCCGTGATTTTATCTAGTTATTTTTTGAGTACGTAAACTTTTATCATCCACGATACCTTAAGGCAAAATATTTTAAAGTTTAACTATACACTACGAGAAGAAATAGCTCCTCTTATTTATTTGAAACATGCTGATTTAATTTGATTTCCTCATACTGGGTGAGGTAGCAGTCGCTTTCCTAATGTCACTTAGGATTTTCTGGAAGACTAGCTTGTCCCCACCCAGGCATCTCTTCTCTAACCTGATAGTCCCAGTCTATTTAATCACTCGGAAACTATTTTATGTTTTCAATCATTTCTGTTGCCTTTTTCTGTACCTTCTTTACAGTCACATATTGCAAGATTGCCAGTGTAAACAGGCTTTTCAGGATGAGTGCTGCAGTATTAACAGTGGCTGATGCTTCATCTCGAGATAGCGTAGGTATTAGCACAAGCACATGGAGACATCCACGGCATGTAACCACAAATGCTTGCACTACACCAGGCATTGCTTGTTAACAGATATTGCTCAACCCCTTAGTGAACCTGCACCTACTTGATTTTGAAATTATAAAACTAAGAGTTCCAGATGCTCTCAGGTTTTTTGTTGTGTTTAAAAGCCAGGAGGTATTTGTCAGGAAGCATTTAAATACTCCTAAAAATAACTATGAAAATGCACTCATACAGCCTGCAGTGTAAGAACTGAATCGATGCATTTATTTTGCAACACTTTTAACAGAGAGGCTGGAAGCTGAACCCGTCTCAAGAAAATACATCCAGAGCTGGAAGTGTGAAACATTTCCGAGAGCACAACAACAGATTACGGTTCAGCTTTTCGGTGTTATTATAACTTTGGCACAAGAAACACTAAAGCACTTCCCTTCTCAACCTCTCATAAAGTCCAACTTTCTATTCATTATCCTAAGCCTAAACTTGGAAGGCTGTCCTGACATTGCCAGATACTGTAACAGTACAATGCACCAAGCAAACATGCAATTTACACAGACAAGCCTGCACTTTTCTTTGCAAGCTTATTCCCACACACAAGAAGCAAATGATATCTGTAAGGGTTCGTCAATACAGCTGCATCTACACGAGTGGCTTTTGCCAGCACAGCACTCTCTAACACAAATCCTATTTTGTCACAACCAACAGATGCTGTAAATAGCAAAGAGTTATAAGGTATCCCTCAACTCAGAAGTTTCAGTGTCACTAATAACCTAATGTATGAAGTTGTTATACTTCAATTCGGTTAAATATATCCAACTGAAACATAACTGGTACTCACTCACAGTCCAGCAACACAAGAATGCTGGAGTAACTCACCAGTTGCATCATGATTTCCAGCACTGACCCAATCAGCTGTTCTGGTTAATGTGTTACTTGTGGGCCAAGTACTAAGATCATCATGAACATCTGCACGTGTGAGCCTTTCTACTACCGTAAGGTCTAAAGTCCATCGTCTTACGTACAATACTTAACCACGGCCAAGACAGACCTCGTCCAGAGATCATT